CCCTGCTCCAGTAACAACTGATGCGATGATTTTAGTTTGGATGAAGCGAAAATATGCATGATTTATACAAAAATCAGCCAAAGTGGTCGTTCTCCTCCATAGCAGCAGAGTATGTCACCAATCGGTGCTCTAATTATCATTTTGATTACAACGACAACGACAATGAACTGAACTAAAAGCTTTTAAGTCTTGGCCGTTATCAGAGACAATCAAAAGAGTGCCGCCTTGATGAAGGATAAAGTGAACTTTGAACAACACACAAATGACACGCCTTTTCCCTATCACCAATCATCAGTGCAAGCGGCAGTTTACCCTTCAGCTTGCTAGCAAGTAGGGAAAATCTGTATCTTGATCAAATGTAGAACGAAGGCATATAATTGGTGTTACGCAATGAACTTTGCAGGGCATACAGTAGAGTAAAATAAATAAGCAATAGAAATAAGCAGGAGATTCATGTGGACCATCAGTAGTGGAAAATGATTTGAATTATGCGATGACTTGTTTGTAGGTGGAGGCTGTGGATAAAACGGTGGTTGTGGTGGCAGTCCGGCTGTTCCATTCACACACATGACATGACCGCCTTGCTTACAGTGTCTTGTGCGTACGGAATGTAAGAAATAGAGTACCAGATGAAGGCCAGGAACTGAAGAATGCAGAAAATGATGGCCAGCATTGTTTTGTGCCACAACAGGGCGGCCAACAGGGTGAGGACCATAAAGAGAACGACAAGAACTGTGGAGATAATTCTCTTCTCGCTAAACATCTTCTTCAGTTGACGCCACGGCCCCATTAGGAACATTGTGCTAAATTGTGAAAGTGGAAAGGGTAATTCATTAAAATTCTGTATCAATAAACATTATAAAACTTACCTGGCCAATGAGCACACGTTTCCGAGCGTATAAAAGAGTGAAAACAGAATAAGACCTCTCGGCAAGACAATGAGGGCAGTTCCGAGAATGGACATGACAAAGCCGAGCACGAAGAAGATGGCGAACCATTTTATTCGCGTAGACCAATCAAGGCTTGAAGAACCTAGTGCCTGTCAAAAGAAACAAATAAAAAAGTTATTGTAAATGAGCTTTTCCAATCTATGTCACAATTTGTGACACATCTGTCAATTGTGTCATTGTTTGTCTGTGATTACGATGATATATCCGGACTAGTTGCTCTCGAGTTGCAACGCAAATAACAACAATGCCACTGGCGCAATAAAATCTATAAAAAGAAGGTACTCACCGCGGCGGCAAAGCCCTCCGATTCCTCATTGTTTGCATCGTTTCCACTTAAAACTTGGCGCAGTTTGTCCATCTTGGAGATCTTTTGACAACCAGAGCAAATTAGCCGAGTAATTTGGGAGTGTGGGTAAACAAGTGCGCTCTCGAAACTGTTGCTGCTGCTGAAAGAAAAAGAAAGAGAACGACGGCAAAAACGCCAACCTAGCGGTGAGCCTTTTTCTGTCAAAACAGACCGCCAGTAAACTTCGCAGAAAATGTGTGCGCGTTCATAAACAAACCAGAAAAGGACTGATCAACTTTCTAAACATTGGCGCATTTTTCGCCATGTAATCGGTTAAATTGCCTAGTGAGCCNGAAACTGTTGCTGCTGCTGAAAGAAAAAGAAAGAGAACGACGGCAAAAACGCCAACCTAGCGGTGAGCCTTTTTCTGTCAAAACAGACCGCCAGTAAACTTCGCAGAAAATGTGTGCGCGTTCATAAACAAACCAGAAAAGGACTGATCAACTTTCTAAACATTGGCGCATTTTTCGCCATGTAACCGATTGCCTGGTGAGCCTGGTTGTGCACATTCCGGTCTTGCTATTTTTGATTTGTCACCAATAAAGGTGAGGCACACGCAGTAACAGTTGCAATCTCAGAAAAGAATCACCGCCACTTGAAGTCGTCTCTAATGTCTTCAGACTGGAAAGTGCTACTTCAGACTTCGAAAGCCGTCGAAGACTCAAAAACCACCAAAGAACCATGGACTCTCCCTTTTGCGACCCACCTTCGACGTTCCTCGATTCAAAGCGCCGCAAATCTCAGAATTACTCCCTATTCTCAGAGTACCTCACCTCAATAATACCAAATAACCGTCAGAAGGGCATTCAGACGATCGTCTTCAACACTTTTGCCATTCTTCTCTCGGTGGCCATTCTCTTTCTTCTGTCTCAGGTGTACCTCATCTTCTTGCCTTGCCTCAAAGCGCTGCTATGGGCATTGCTTTGCGGGTCTGCGCTGTACCCATTTAAAGTCAAACTAAACTCCTCTCTGGGATCATGGCTGAAAACCCTAGAGGACCAAGACCGTTCCTTCTGCAGTGGCCTTATTCAGCTGCCCTTCAACTGTCTCTTTACCCTCTACAACCTGCTGATTGACTTTATTTACCAAAATTACATTCTCTTTATTATTTTTCATTTCCGCTTTCAACTATGCGACGCTCTATCAGTTCTCTGTGGCATAAGTCTGACCATCCTTGGACACAACAAAGGAATCATCACCACCTTTGTCATCTTTTGCTCGTCGGCCCAGGTATTCCTGGTGATCTTCAAGAGAAGCAACATTTTCCTTCACGTGTTGTCATCATTTAGCTTTTTGCCGTCTATATTTCTGTTATCGTTTTTCTACTTTCTCCACTGCGTGGGCATCATTGGTCACATCCTCTTTACCGCCTTTATCTGCATATCAGTTATCGGATGTGTGTTTACCTTTTACAGCTTTACTCACGATTCAAAGAAGCAATCTGAAATAATTGAAGAACTGAACAATCTAGTCAACGTACTCAATGAAACACTGAAAGCAGTCTTCAATCGCTTTATTGGAGCGGCCTTGAGGCGATTCAACTTGCCAGATGATGATTCGCCGGACAGCGTCAGTGCCAAGCTGGGCACGCAGTTCATCTCGGTGCTTTTGACCATCTTCCTCTTTGTGCTCTCTGAGCAAATGCAAATCTCAACCGTTATTCTGGGCATTTCCGGTCTACATCTAGTCACATTTAAGATGTTCAGCAAAATCAGTGAGCGAACCATTGCAGTTCAACAAGTTGTCAGTGAACGGTTTGCCAATCTAAAGTCTTCAATTGGAGCAAAACTGGAGAAGGACATTTTCTTTCAATTTTGGATCTACTTTTTCCTCAAGGGAGATTTGATGGTACGTAGGGTTGATGATTGTGTTACATGATTGATTAACGAAATCTTTTTATTTTAACAGATTCGCAAAACTCTGCAGAAGAGCTCTGACTTGCTCACCAGTCTGGCACTCATTTTTACCGTTTCCGTGGTCATTGTCTTCTTTTCGGTGTTTCTCTCCATCAAAGTGTACGGCGAGTGCTACTCGGCCATTTATTTGCTGCGAAATGAACTTGGAAAGATTGACTACATTCGTGATAGCATCAACCTGACGCTGAATGATGTGACCAACGTCGACTACCTGAACAATCTAGTTCGAGACAATTTGCTCTCAACTAACAAGTTGAATCTCAAGGAAGAGGACAAGGTTATGATCAGCAAAATGCTGGTTGATTTTGGCGAAAATATACTCATCTTTCTAAATGCTAGTCGAACTAATCCGGAATCAGATTTGAGCAAGTTAAATCATAGCAGCTCTCTTCTCACTGAAACGCTTGGGGAACCGGCCACTACTGTTGACACTTCACACCTGATTCGGTCACTGTTTAGTCACTTCGCTTTGGTTGACTTGAAAAAGTTTAATTTCGAAATTGTTTTTAATTTTGTCAACTCTCGGGCCAACTCATACTTACCCCTTCTCAAAAGCTTTATCTCCATCTTTTACGCGTTTATTTTTGTCATTCTCGATGGGGGCTTCGTAGTTCTGGGCTTTGTTCTCAACTGTGTAAGTCTCATTTTGTTGTTATCTAAAATCTCATTTGCTCAAACTAACTGTTTTNACCGGCCACTACTGTTGACACTTCACACCTGATTCGGTCACTGTTTAGTCACTTCGCTTTGGTTGACTTGAAAAAGTTTAATTTCGAAATTGTTTTTAATTTTGTCAACTCTCGGGCCAACTCATACTTACCCCTTCTCAAAAGCTTTATCTCCATCTTTTACGCGTTTATTTTTGTCATTCTCGATGGGGGCTTCGTAGTTCTGGGCTTTGTTCTCAACTGTGTAAGTCTCATTTTTTTGTTATCTAAAATCTCATTTGCTCAAACTAACTGTTCGTAATTTTGCAGTTTATTTTTACATTGGCTTTATTTTACCTGCTCTCCACTAGTCGCCAAAAGTACAAGCCGATTGAATTTCTGGACAACATCGTTTCGTCCATCTTCACCAGCTGCGAACAGAACCGTTTCAGTCGTTACGTGGAGGAAGTGGTGAATAGCATCTTTGCAGCGACCCTGAAGATATCCGCCTTTTACGGCATATACACCTGGCTGTTGCACTCACTCTTTGACATTCAGATTTGCTGCATACCTTCAGGTACGATTGTGTATCAACTCGAAATAAGCTAATAATTCTTTTTGTAGTGATCGCTGCTATTCTGGCGGCTGTGCCCCTTCTCAACGCCTGTTGGGCGTCGCTACCAGCCTGTCTGTATCTGTACTACTTTGACCAAAACTTACCCGTCTTGAAATCGCTGACCATGTTCATCATGGCGATAATGCCTTCCTTCATTGTCGACTCTTCCATCTACAGTGACATCAAAAGGTACTAGTATTCGGTGATGGTTTTACCTTTATTCTAATCACTGAAACAATTCTTTCCTTTCCAGAGCTGGCCACCCCTACCTGACCGGTCTTGCCATCACCTGCGGAGTCGTCTACTTCGGTGTTGAAGGTGCCCTCTTTGGACCACTTTGGCTTTGCTTTCTTTTCATAATAATTCAGATGATCTCAAGCCTGACTGAGAGTAACCAAGCAGCGTACTCCATTGCCTCAACTCCAACGTGAATTAGTTGTTATCTCTTTTATTAAACATTTTTTTCAATGTAAAACACGCATAATAAACGAACCACCCACCAAACGATCAGACCAGACCAGACCACTACCCGATGGCCAGCCTTTTCCTGCCTCGCATTCGCACTTGATCTAGCTTTTTGTTGATTTTATCAGTGCCCATTTTCTCTTGGTATGATTGCAGAAAGAGGGCAAAGTCGACTTGCGGGTGGGTGCTTTCGATGGCTCGCTCCAGCACGTACAGATCAACAGCTCGATCTTCGTCGGTTACTGAGGAGGAAGACAGTCCAAAGTCGATTGGAATGAGCACAACTTTTCTGTTTCCCTCTGGCTCGCCGGTCGTATCATCCTCAATTTGCTTCACCAGAAAGTTTGACGTTGTCAAGTCCCCATGGACAATACCACAGGAGTGTATCTGCGCCACGACGACGCCCATCTGGAAGAGGGCATCAGCAACGGCGGCACTGGATGGCTCGTTCTTGTTGATGAACTCACTCACATTTTGGGCATCAGTAATTTCTGACATGACAATGTTTCGGTCATCCGAGTAGAGCACGGTGGACATGAGCTGAAACAGTTCTTTACATCTTTTGCCGATCTTCTCGTAGGCCTTTAGTTCTGCGCGAATTCGTTCTTTGGTCAGCTTTTGATCCAGCTCCGGTAAACGGTAGGTCTTCTTGAATCGTTCCTTGAGAATAGCCGGCTTGGAGTAGTACTCGCCCTTGTAGACGCGAGACTCTGCTCCCTGGAACAGTAGCGTCCACTTGTCTTTGGGGAATTTTGAGGAGCTGTCATCATCGACGGCAGTCATTTTTAGATTTGAGTGGAAAAGTGATGCTTACAGAATCAATAAAAACAGAATTTGAAAGAAAACGTGTTTTTTGTTTACATGTGAAGTTCATTTTCGCCATCAACCCGGTAGATGGCACTTTGCTGAATCTCGTCTTTTTAAAAGTTGATTTTCAGATTTCATTGTGTTCAAGTGATTTTTTTCAAAATTGATTCAATAAACGGTAATCAAAATGTCACAGCAGCCAAGAAATGAATCGCCCAACAAGGATGCTCAGCTGACACCAAATCACTGTTTTCCTAAAGTTCGTAAACGGCAGGTAATCATTTTTGTATTTGATATTCAAAATGCCATGATTTTATTATTCTTGTCAACTAGGTTTTATCAATTCAATCAGATTTACATGCAGCAAATAAAATAAAAGATGAAAATGTAAAGCTTGTGAAATTAATTAGCGAAAAAGTCGATACTCTGGTAGATACTCTGCCTCAGTTTCAATGTAAGTAGCCATTTATTCCATCAAGTGTTTTATCTTTGTACTTTTCTTAGATAGCAACGACATGTCCAACGACAGTGTCTTGTTTGCAAACAAACACGTTAGAGGTACATTGAATCACTAGTGAAATTGTGCTGTCTCTGCTTTACCTCAAAGTGCCTGTGCAACTCTGTAGTTTCTCTTTTCATTGCAAAATACGTTCTGTACAGTTGCTGTATACAGAAAAAAATACAACGAGCAATCAATTTATTGAACTGGCATGTTTTGTGTACTGGTGGCTCACAGTTCAACTGACATATTTTTAGCTTTTTAAAAACTTAGAAAACAACTTGGAGTTGCTAAATGTTTTTGCCTCTATCTCACTGGGATTGATAAAACTTTTGTACTGCACAGAGATAATTTTATTTCCTCTTTCTAATACTCGGAAAAGTTATCACCACTTTTGCTCACTGCAATAGATTTTTGTAATTTGCTTTTGTCAACTCATGATACGCTGTTGTCCTGATCACTGCTTTCACCATGGAAAACCAACGCGAGTTTGACCTGATCATCTTTGGAGCCACCGGCTTCACCGGTTTCTTTATGGTTCGTGAACTGCTGCTGACAATAGAAGGTGATCCAGCAAAATACTCCACTCTAAAATGGGCCATTGCGGGGAGAAATGCGGCAAAACTGGATGACACACTGGTGAAGCTGGCGCAAGAGCTCAACGTCAATCTATCCAAAGTAAGCAAGATCAAAGCTGATGCGGCCGACCCTAGCTCTCTGCTTCGAATGGCCGAACGGGCCCGGGTGATTGTCAATGGCGTCGGGCCGTACATCGTCCACGGCCGACAGGTGGTGGAGGCCTGTCTTCAGGCGGGCACTCATCACATCGACATTAGCTGTGAGTTTCAGTTCGTGGAGGGCATGCAGCTGGAATATGATGCGCTGGCACGGCAAAACGGAACGCTCATCATTACGAACTGTGGCTTTGGAAGCACCGTCACTGACATGGGAGTTTGCTATTTGAATGACCACTTTGACGGCGGAAGGCTACACTCGGTGGAAAGCTTTTTCCGGATGTTTTTGGGACCAAAGGTCAGTAACCGTTGTCAATTTAGTTTCATTGTTAATAAAGCAAAAATTTTAAATTAAAACAGAAATACACTGTCAACTTCGGAACTCTTCATTCAGCCGTTTACTTGATCGCCAACTTGATCGATTACTTTCGAGTTCATTCTCGTCTTTATGAGAAGGTGTTGACAAAGCCGCTTCCTCGGTCTCGGGTGTCTCTTCCGATGCATCTGCTGCCGTTCCGTAAGTTTTCAGGATGGAATTTACCGTACATGGCCGGCGACAAGGAGACGGTAATGCGAAGTCAGCACTACAACTACCAGTTCTTTGAGGAGAGACCAGTTCAGTTCCAGCCATACTTTACATTTCCCAGTTTGCTCTTTGCCATTGCTTCTCTCCTCTTTGGAGCATACATAGCCACTCTCAGTCTTNCTGCTGCCGTTCCGTAAGTTTTCAGGATGGAATTTACCGTACATGGCCGGCGACAAGGAGACGGTAATGCGAAGTCAGCACTACAACTACCAGTTCTTTGAGGAGAGACCAGTTCAGTTCCAGCCATACTTTACATTTCCCAGTTTGCTCTTTGCCATTGCTTCTCTCCTCTTTGGAGCATACATAGCCACTCTCAGTCTTATAAAGCCACTGAGAATGCTTCTGGAGAAATGGCCTGAAGTGATGACATTTGGCTACTTCACCAAAAGCGGACCAACTCGAGAGCAAGTTGAGACGAACCACTTTGAGACAAGGTTTCAGGGAAAAGGCTGGAGCAGCAGCAGCCTTTCTGATGATGATCTTCATTCGGAGCCCGTAAAACCGTTTGACAAAGAGGTGACACTGGTCGTCACTGGGAATGACGCAGGATACAAGACCACTTCCACCTGTGCTATTCAAGCAGCACTCACTGTTCTTGGCGATAGAGAGAATATGCCAAAGTAGGTGTCTTTAATTTACTCTTGATACTTTCTTTACGATAACATCTTTTTGCCCAAACAGAGGGGGAGTCCTTACACCAGGTTCAGCTTTTCGCCACACTGACCTTGTGAAGCGACTGCATATGCGGGATTTAAAATTTAAGCTTATGTGAAAGGTGTTGACAGAAAGAGCAATAAACAATGAAAAACATGAACTGAAATTAGTTTGCTTTCAAACTATCAAAGTCTGTGAATTTCCAGTGCCGATTTTGCACTACAGTGCAATAAAAATGTTCTCAAGCACGATTAGCTAAGTTGCACCTAAAGCAAGTTTGATCATTCTGTAGCTGTGTTTCATCACCACAGCGAGTGCATATGTTCACTGTGTGTCTTTTTGCAGCGCTGGATGGCAACTTATGAACACTGGTGCAGCTACTCAGGAGAGAGAAAGACTCTGTAAACAGGCTTTTGTCAATCGTTATCACGCACTGATAAAAGTGTGTGATACACGATAACTCAGCCTATGCTTTTTCAATATTAATGTGAGAAGTCAACTTAGAAAAACTTTATAAGTACCAACTTTGGTGATGATTTTTATATTGTGATTACTACAACTAAAACAGCATTCTAAACATGGCAAACAACAAACGTGAATTTGATTTGGTCATTTTTGGAGCCACCGGTTTCACCGGCTTTTTCATGGTTCGTGAACTGCTTCAAGTGATTGCCGAAAAACCTGCCGAATATTCATCTCTCAAGTGGGCTATCGCAGGAAGAAACCTGGCAAAACTTAATGAAACTCTCGCTAAACTATCGAAAGAGCTTAATCTCGATCTCTCTAAAGTCACCAAAATTAAAGCTGATGTCGGCGATGCCGATTCTTTGCTTCGTATGGCTGAACGCACTTCGCTGATTGTAAATGTTGTGGGCCCGTATGTCATGTACGGCAAACAGGTGGTTGACGCCTGTGTTCGCTCTGGAACTCATCACATAGACATTAGCGGAGAATCGAATTACATTGAAAGCACTCAGATTGAGTACGATGCTAAGGCTCGTGAAACTGGATCGTTGATCATTTCAACTTGCGGTTTTGACAGCATTCCCAATGATGTCGGTGTTGATTACCTCAAAAAAAACTTTGACGGCAAACTACACTCGGTGGAGAGTTTTGTGCGGTTTCAGCCTGGTCCAAAGGTGATTTGAATTTGTTTTGATTCAACACAACTTAAACTTATCATTTTCACACAGGGCTACTCGATCAACTTTGGCACCTTTCAATCAGCGTTCACCTTTATATCGGATTTCTTTAACTTCATGCAAATTCATTCTCGACTGTACAAAGAGGTGCTCACCCAAAAGTTGCCCAAAAGTCGCATCTCACTGCCAATGAGAATAATTCCCTTCAGTCAATCTGGCTGGAATATTCCCTTCATTGGCACTGACAAAGATGTCGTCGAACGCAGTCAACACTACAACTATGCGCAGTTCAATGAGCCGCCTGTTCACTTTCAGCCGTACATTAATTTTGCCAGTTTTTTCAACATGTTGGCAATTATCTTATTTTCAGCTGTTTTAGTGCCCATGTCTTTGCTGAAACCAGGACGATATCTTCTTGAAAAGTATCCACATATTATCTCCTTTGGCTTCTTCACTAAAGAAGGTCCAACTCGCGAGCAAGTGGAAACTACTCGGCTCTCCGTCACTTTACATGGAAAGGGCTGGAGTAAAAATCTAACTGGCAGTGATCCTCATTCAGAACCGTCCAGGCCTTTTGACAAAGAAGTGATAGTGGTGGTGAAGGGACGAGATCCTGCTTATATGGCCACATCAACTTGTGCTATCAATGCTGCATTGACCATTCTCAAAGAGCGAGAGCTGATGCCCAAGTAAGCCAAAGATCAAAGCTAATTAACATTACAATGGCTAATCTTTTTGTCATTTTCAGAGGTGGAGTTTTCACTCCTGCATCAGCCTTCCGCAACACCAAACTGGTTGAGCGACTGCACGCGAGGGGGCTAACTTTTGAAATCGTTAAAAACTAATTGAGTAGTCTACAACACTTTTTTTGCTTGCAGCATTTATAAATAAATTTGTGTTGTTGCAATCAAAACACAAACATTCAATCACTTATTCAAATGTTCGCTAACTGCACTTACACCATTAAAACATGTAATGCTGATACACGACAACGCTTACAGTACAAGGGTAGCTTTCCAGAGCTGGCAAACGAGTTTTCTAGCAGATAACTTTTCTTTTCAATGATAAAAGTGTGTTGCACTACAAGTACAGCTTCAGTTGTATCTGCAGAGAACGGTCGTGAGGTGCATCTCTCAACACCGGCTACCTCAAAGTGACTTGTGTATTTTTGTGAAACTTCTGAAACACTTATATTGACAAAACCATGACTGAAAAACGTGAATTTGATCTGGTCATTTTTGGAGCCACCGGGTATACCGGCTTTTTCATGGTCCGAGAGCTGCTGCAGGTGATTGCGGAAAACCCAGCCGAGTACTCATCTCTTAAATGGGCAGTTGCTGGAAGAAACTTAACAAAACTCAATGAAACACTGGCCAAGCTGGCTCAAGAGCTCAATGTCAATCTGTCAAAAGTGGACAAAATCAAAGCAGATGTCGGCGACGCTGATTCACTACTAAAAATGGCAGAAAAAACTTTGCTGATAGTCAATGTTGTTGGCCCATTTCAGCTGTACGGCAAACAAGTTGTGGACGCCTGTGTTCGCTCTGGAACGCATCACATTGACATTAGCGGAGAGTCGACGTACATTGAAAGTTCGCAGATTGAGTATGACGCCAAGGCACAGGAAAGCGGATCACTGATCATTTCCACTTGCGGCTGGGACTCCATTCCTAATGATGTCGGTGTCGATTTTCTAAAGAAGCACTTTGAAGGGAAACTACATTCGGTGGAAAGCTTTATGCGATTCCATTTTGGCCCAAAGGTAAACTGCTTTTATTGTCACTCAATCATTTGTTTTATCGTTCCACTTTTTGCTTAGGGTTATTCAGGAAACTTTGGCACGTTTCAATCGGCATACACCTTCATATCCGACTACTTTAGCTACAGGCGAACGCACTCTCAACTGTACAAAGAAGTGCTCACTGAAAAGCTTCCTCAAAGTCGAATGTCACTGCCTATGAAGGTGATTCCCTTCCGACAGACAGGCTGGAATGTCCCGTTCATGGGAGCGGACAAGGCAGTGGTTGATCGGAGTCAACACTACAACTTTACACATTTCAATGAGCCACCAGTACAGTTTCAGCCGTACATAAACTTTTCAAAGTTTCTCCACATGATGGCGATTGTTTCCTTCTCTGGAGTTTTAGTGCCATTTTCACTGCTTAGGCCCGGACGGTACCTGCTTGAAAAGTATCCTCACATTTTTACCTTTGGTCATTTCACCAAAGAAGGACCTACTCGTGAGCAAGTGGAAACTACTCGCTTTTCACTGACACTACACGGCAAAGGATGGAGTAAAATTCTGGTTGGGGATGATCTTCACAAAGAACCAGGGAAGCCTTTTGACAAGGAAATGACAGTTCTGGTCAGTGGACGAGACCCTGGCTATTTGGCAACATCAACGTGCACAATTCAAGCTGGACTGACCATTATCAAAGAGCGTGAGCTGATGCCAAAGTAAGTTATGAATATGCGAAATGAGTTTTCAAAACTTTATATTTCTTTTGTTTTTTTCAGAGGTGGAGTTCTCACTCCTGCGTCAGCTTTTCGTAATACCAAGCTAGTCGAACGTTTACAATCGCGAGGACTCACTTTTGAAATTGTCAATAAATAAATAAAACATGTTTCATCAATAAACAACCCGTTTTTAGTTCTATTTTTATGAGCTCAATGACTTTTGTGGTGAATAAAACCACGTCCGCTTTCAGTTGAGCGTCGTTTTACTTCTGCACTTTTTCAACTCGTCAAAGATGTCCTTCAACAAGAGCAGCGGTGCTCTCAGCTCCGAGTTTGCCATTCGCTACAGCCGCGACAATGGCAACGCCGCCCGACTGTCGCCCATTGGCATTGACCTCTTTGTGACTGATCCGACGAAGGCGAACACCAAACTGGACACGATGGCCTTCATCATTCACTGCGCAGTGCACGACAAGGTGGCCATCTACGAGGACCCGGTGACTCGCATTCGCTGGCTCCCATTCACCCCGCTCTGCCAGACCAAGTAGGTGTCAGCATTGTCACAGCGAAACTGATCACAAATGACCACTGTTGTTGTTTTTGCTAGGTTGTGGAATGACTCAGCCACGCTGGGCACTCTGCTGATACTGAGCACCAATGAGGAGCAGTACTTCAGTCTGAAGCCGAATCCGCCCTTTGGGAAGGTGAAGCTGCTGGACACGTTGCGCATTCAGCAGCCACAGACGCTCAACTTTCTCACCCGCATGATCTTCTACGTCCGCCTGACCACCACTGACAACCCCGCCTTTAGCTGCTGCAGTGAGGGCAACTGCATCGACTGGATCAGCACCGCCGACCTCTGCGACAACAACCTGCCGAACATCTGGGGCCCCGAGGTGGTGCAATTTCTGCGCATCGTCAAGTCCGACTTTGAGGGCTACACCGAGCGCATTGAGGAGTTCAGTCTGGATGACGTGTACTACTACTCGCCACGTGACCCGCCTCGCAATGCCGAGGAGAAGCTGCTCTACGAGCTGGGCATCTCCGAGAAGACCATTGAAGTGCTGTACAATGACTTTCTCGACCACTGCTACCCGTGCTTCTCGCTGCCCATCTACTCCTTCAAGCAGTACTTGGGGAAGTACGGGCTTAAGTTTGAGGATGACCGCCTCGATTCGCTCTTCATGGCCTTCAATTACACCAAAACGGGCTACGTCTCCTTTCATGAGCTGCTGATGGGCCTGGTTTCGCTGGAGCCGCTGGCCGCTCACCAGGAGACCCGTCTCAAGTTCATCTTTCGCTTCTACGACCCCACCAGCAAGGGCTATTTAGACTGTGATGACTTCGCCAAGATGATCGCCGACATTCACCCCAACCTGGAAGCCAATGAGCAGCAGGCAAAGCTGGAGGAGGCGGTCGAGTCGGTGGGCTGGACGCTGAAGACTGCCGAGGACAGAGAGGAGCCCATCAAGGTGATCACCTTCACCAACTTCATCGAAGCAGTGGGCGGTTTCAAACTGAGCGGCACATCGCACCTCTGTCGCTCCAGTGTGCCGGTCTTTCTGCAGCTGACGAAGGCGGTCATTCGAAAGAAGAAGCAGACGGCGGACGATTTGAGTGAGTGGAAGGACCTGCGCTCGGTGCTGCTACCCAACACCTTCAAGGGCACCTGCAAGCGCTGTCGGGAGGCTAAGTTCCGACTGGCCACGCACTCCGTCACCATCGACAGCGCCGGCAGCTGCTCCGGAAAGGTGCTCACCGTCAACAAGGAGAGCCGCTACGCACCCGTTGACCGCCGCTCAGTGGACTTCACCTTCAACAGCAACTCCGTCAGCAATGTCTTCATACGGAAGGTGCGCGAGTTTGCCAAGCACAAGGGCACTGTCACTGAGCCGAGGGGACTTNACCCAACACCTTCAAGGGCACCTGCAAGCGCTGTCGGGAGGCTAAGTTCCGACTGGCCACGCACTCCGTCACCATCGACAGCGCCGGCAGCTGCTCCGGAAAAGTGCTCACCGTGAACAAGGAGAGCCGCTACGCGCCCGTTGACCGCCGCTCAGTGGACTTCACCTTCAACAGCAACTCCGTCAGCAATGTCTTCATACGGAAGGTGCGCGAGTTCGCCAAGCACAAGGGCACCGTCACTGAGCCGAGGGGACTCCTCGATGGAGGCAAGGCCTCGGAGATGTACGAACTCATGCAGAAGCTGGTCGGAGAGGCGAAGCCGCTGCTGGAGAAGGAGAGTCGCTGTCCGAACGTCTGCTCGCCGATCTACGTCATCGGCGACATTCACGGCAATCTTGAGGCAAGTGTTTGATTGTTTTGTTATCAATTACCATTTACTTAATACTTGACAATATCNGAGGCGAAGCCGCTGCTGGAGAAGGAGAGTCGCTGTCCGAACGTCTGCTCGCCGATCTACGTCATCGGCGACATTCACGGCAATCTTGAGGTGAGTATTTGATTGTTTTGATCAATTGCCAATTACTTAATACTAGACAATATAAGGACCTGCTGACGCTGGAGAAGACGCTGTGGCGCAGTGAACCGCTGCTGGGCAGCAACTTTCTCTTTCTAGGCGACTACGTCGATCGGGGCAAGTGGTCAATGGAGTGTGCCGTGTACCTGCTCTCTATGAAGGTGCTCTGTCCGAAGAAGGTGACCCTACTTCGGGGCAACCACGAGGCAAGTAGTTGATAGCTCTTATCATTAACAGATATATTTAACAACTGTCCATAAATAGGTAAGACAGCTGCAGGAGAAGTACAGCTTCAAGCGGGAGTGCCTGGCAAAGTACGGCGAGTACGGAGAACGCCTCTGGAAGCTGATCAACGAGGTCTTTGACCTGCTGCCCGTGGCCGCCACCATCGACAATCGCATCTTCAACACCCACGGCGGCCTCTCACCGAACGCCAAGACGTTGTCGCTGATTCGCAAGGTGCCCAGTCCGCTGCCCAATCCGGAGCTGCAGTCGAAGATCGCCTGGGAGCTGCTGTGGTCTGACCCGTGCCACATGCAGCAGTACCTGGACATAATGGAGTACAGCGACAGCATCGGCCAGCACGAGTTCGCCAAACAGGGCTACCTCTACAACTCGAAACGCGGCGCCGCCTATCTGTTCAATGAACGGGCGGCCACTGACTTTCTCGCCGCCAATCACCTGTCGCACATTATTCGTGCCCACGAGGTAATGTGACTGATTGGCTGTTAATTTTTTTGTAAACACCTGTTCTTTCTATTTAGGTACCGCCGTACGGTTTTCAGCACCACTTTAACCAGCTGTGCACCACCGTCTTCTCCTGCAGTCACTACTGCAATAATGACAACGAGGCGGCGGTCATTCTGGTAGCGGGCAATCGCCTGCGAGCCATTCGAATTGATACACACAACAACGCTCCAGCAACGGACAAATGATGATGATCTGAAGATAGAAAGTAAGTTTTTACTCTCACCTTAAATTTTGCCCTATTACCTTGGTGTCTTATTAAAATAAAAAATACTCAAAGGTTTGAAATATATAGTCAATTTATTAATAAATTAAATCAATTAGAAAATAATAACAAAAAATGAGAGAGAAATATAATATAAAATCAATTCAAAGTGTAGTCGAAGAGTACAGCAGTGAGGGTCAAACAGAATGTGTTGTGTGTGTGTGTGGTTGTGGTCAGCCTTTGGCAAAAACTCTATACAGTTGCTGACACATCAGTTCTGGAAGTGACTCGAGAGAACCGCAACATTTGAGTATTTGGTCTTGTCAGTCGGTGCTGATACAGTGTGCCGGTCAGTGTCTCTCGTCCAGTCGTACCATGTTCAAGTGAGGACAAAGGATGATGATGATGGGATGAGGATGAGCAAATGTACAAATAAGAAGGTGAAGAGGGGTGAAATGTACAGGCGATGAAGGTGAGAGAGTGTGTGTGGTCATTGTGTTGAGCTTTGTACAGATGATCAGAAGAGGTCGGCGTGCGACTTTTGCCTGCGGAGGCGGTTTCGTCGCTTTCGATTGAGAACATTGGTGGGCGAGTCGCGTCTGAAGCGGACATTGGTGGGGTCATCCGCCAGCTGCGGATACCGCTCAATGCCGTGAATGTCAGAGCCAAAGTACTCTGGAACGTGACTGCGCGAGAGGAGGGCCTTCTTCTCCTCCGCCGACCAGTCGGCCTTGGCCACGCCGGGGTGGCCGTGTCGCAGGTAGTAGACCTCCCTCGCCCAGGCCTCCTGCACTGCCTTCCTTCGGGCCACTCTGGCCACTCGGTTCAGTTCGTCCTGGTAGGTGGTGCCGTAGCGAATGTTGAGCAGTAGACTGCCACTGCTGATTAGAATTTGACTAGCGGATGAGGCGCCAGGGGAAGAACTGCCGGCGCCGGCGGAGGTGCCAGAGGCGGTTTCTGCAGCCTCTGCAGCTCGAGTGACATTGACCAATGAGCCCAGCTTGTGCAGCTGTTCAATGTCCTTCTGCATTCTCTGGTGGGACTGCTGCTGATCGGTGGTCGTCGACTGTACA